TATTTGCTTGAAATCAGATTTCTACACTGATTTCTTGCACTGTGTTTATTTAAATGTTTACTCTTGTACATGTAATAAAATGTTGATAAGCATTACACTGTGATTACACACAATTCGTGGGAATTATTTGTTTAGTTAAAAATATTTAATTAATTTAGTGTATGTAAATATATATATATATGTGTGAAAGTGTATGACTCAGATAATAAAGACAATAAAGACGCACCGGACGGATCGAACTAAGTTAAAATGAAGCTCCCTCATTTATGAAGTGTTTTCAAGCATATTTGCTCTACGCTTAGTGCTAGTCTTTCTTAATGAAAATAATTTAATACAACAATGGAAAGAATGAAAATCAGCGCTTTGTTGAAGAAAAAACAGGTATTTTCATAATCGTATTTCTTGTTCTCAAATCCATACTTACTTAAAGTCGTTACAAAAAAGTCGCTTTATAATTACTAAAGCAATTTCAGGCAGCTACACTTAGACCGTTCCCCTCTATAAGTGTTTTATTTTGAGTTAAACCAGAGTCTGAGAACGAGTTCCATTTCTGGTTTAGTTATGCATGAGAACAAAACGTTATGTCAAGAACGTTCCCACAAAGAGCCAAACGGGAACAAAAGTAATGAAAGCAGTTTGAAGGGGAACAAAGTGAGAACAAAAGCTTGTGGAACGTTTCCATAAAGAACAGAATGCAAATAAAACTCTCGGGAATGTTCTTATGAATAACAGAATGAGAACGAAACTTTCGTTAACGTTTGCAATGAGAATACATTAAGAACGAAAGTATTGAGGAAACGTTTTTAAGGAGGAACAATTAAGAACAAAAGTCTGGGGAACGTTCCACTAGAGAACAAAACCAGAAAAAAAGTTTTGAGAACATAACGTTACGAATGAGAGGGGCGTCTGCGTGTTGGAACGAAAAATCGTTTCAGTGACAATCATGATTGTTAATTCCAAGCCAGTGGAAATCTGGATCATTCCAACTTCCAGATAATTTGTCATTAGGGTGAACTGTTCATTTATGGAGGAATTTTTTTTCATGTGCAAGAAAGTTCGTGTCTTAAGTCTTTCGTTTACTTTATTTGCATAATCATCTTTGAGTTCTATTTTGAGTAATTTTAATATTCAAATATTTCAAACTAATAGAACGCTATGATGAAAATTTTGTTCTCGCTTCCATTCTTGGCGAATAGTTCAGAGAAAATTTGTTCTCGTTTCGTTCGCTGTTAGAAAGTTCCTGAGACTTTAGTTCCCGTTTTGTTCTTTGCCAAAATATTCCGTAGACTTTTGTTCTCTTAGAAATATTCATGAAAGTATTGTTCGCATTCTGTTCTCTTTGGGAACGTTCCACAGTTTGTTCTTATATAATTCCCATTGAGAACGTCCTTTACAGTTTCTCAGTTGGAGTTTTTTTTTAAAGCGTTATTGGGAACAAAACTACGAGAACGACATTTAGTTTCGAACATAACTTTTGTTCTTGGTCCCTGGTTAAAACCGACTTTGCTCATAAAATACCTTGCTCCGAGCCCAAAATTAACTTTTGCTGCACATGAACAATAGGTAAGGTTAGTTCGTAACGCTTGGAGCGTAGATTGGTGTGTAGATTGATACCAAAAAGCTCACTGGGGTACAAACCACCTTGCTGAGGCTATGAACTTTGCCAAAGCTCTTACCTATTTCCACCTAAGAGATCTCTGTACCTCTCTCCTTGTGACATATAAGCCAAAGGGGAGCAAGTGACCCATGAGAGTTTATACTTACGAGGAATGAAGTGCGTTGCTGATAATAAGAAGATCCTGGTAATGCTGAAGGTTACACTGAATAGGAACTGTTTCAACGTAAATTGGCGACTAGATAGGTTTAATGTCTAAAAAACTCTGTACTATAGCTATTAGTATACCGACCGTGCCCTTTTCCCGAAGTACATTTTTTTTTGGCTACTCCCCCGACCTTGTGGGTAGTCATATGCTGAGATCTTGTCGTGTTGGCAAAACAGCTTTGTATTTCTTATCGAAAGTGGATGGGGTTGTAAAGAATAGTCAAAAATAATATTTGACGAGATTGCCGCCAACATATCTGGTATAACTGGAAAGTCCTAAGATTATACAAAAAGAGCTTCCTTAAGTTTTACGGTCGTAATAAATATAATATATTCGGTGGACGGTGTACTATCTTCGGAAAGAGTGCTTTTGATATACATATCTTTCTTTTTGTTTGCAAGTACCGTTGCGCCTTCCTTAGTGCATGTCGATGTCTGTCATTCCAGAACAGCTTACTGTATAGAACTCCTCCTCGACTATTTTGCCGCATTTTTGAAAATTAGGTTGGTATCATCTAAGTAGTTAAAAGGCTAAAAAGAGGTGGTAATTTGCACCAGGTTCTTAAAAGAAATAATCCAGTCGTAGCTGGTCCTAGCATCCTGCAGGAGAGTAGATGATGGACGACGATAACCAGAGAGTTGTCTATATATCTGGAGAGCTGCCATGGCTGGGGAATTGCAGAGTCATTTCAGTGGATATACTTACCGGGACGAATACAATTACAGGCCTTACTAAATGCTAATCCCAAAAAACAGACTTTCTTCTATTTAAAAATTTAATTAAAGTATTACAGTTCTAAATTCCACCACTGAGCCTCAGGCTAATCTAACACTCAGATAGTTAGGCTTGTAAGAAAACAAGATTCCTATCACATGAATCAATGATCAGAGAAATATACAAGTAAAATGAAAAACACGATGAACTGTAGGTACTTTGGACTAATTGTGAAGTACTCTTGGAAAGATGGGCCTCGTGTCAACTCAGCGTAGGCTGGACAATGGCAGGAACCTGTGCTGCTGCGGGTATTTCGGAGATAGTCTAGCGCTTCAAACACATACGCCTACAGTTTTACAAAGGACCAATGCGTATGCTCTAAGTGCACCCTTTGTCCAGTGGCAACCACTTTAACCTAACATAACCTAAACTAGGTTCGCCAAACTTGACTTAAATGGTGGCTCAAGAGTTCTACTCCCATACAGAATGGTATAGAGGTTATAGTGAAAACTAATATTCATTTGACATCGAAATTAAAAAAAAAAAATCCACTAATCCGCAACAATTTTAGTATCACGATTTCTATTTCTTTATTTGGAGTATTTTAATTCGATTTATTTTGGCATTGATTTGTGATCAAATGAATTATGAGATTAGACATTTGCATTTGTAAGAAATAAGTGCTTTCGTTTCTCTAAGCCAGACTGATCGGCATCAAGGCGTGGCCGGATACTGCTATTATTATTGTATGTATGTATGTATAGTTAGTGTGTACACTCACAGAACTCTTATCTAAAATATACTCTTGCTTTTTTGAAGTGAAAGAACCTTTTAATAATGAGATTAAAAAGTCGTCGAAGTAAGTATGAAATGCTTTTATAAAGAGCCTAGATTCCGTCATCATTATAAAGTGAAAACGCATCACTTAGCTTATCATTATACTATATTTATCTTTTAATAGTCATAAATGCTGCTGAAAGCCATTTAATTCAAGCATTCAGAGGCACCCGTCTTCCAATAGCCACTCTCGCCACTAAGCTGTTGTGACAATGCCCCTGCATTTTATTCAAGCGCATATTTACATTTATTTATGTTAAACAAGTGCCTGTGTTGTACAGAAAGATATGTAAATAAATATTTGTATTCATATATGCTTTAGGGTGGCCCAAAAATCAATTTGAAGAGTTAAAGTCGGAATTTCAATGCTCTCACCATCTAGGATGGTTCTAGATCGAAAAAATATACCATGTGTTTTTTTTTTTTAATACAAAATATTTAGAAGCGCTCGAAGTTTTTAGGGTTTTAGGGAACCAATAAAAAATTTAACACTAAAATTTGAGTCTCTTTCTTTCTTGAAGATTTTTAAGGATTCTTTATTATTTCTACACAAAATTGTTTTTTTTTTCATATAAAATACATGTGAAACTTTGAGCACTTTGAGTGACTTCTAAATATTTTTTTTTGTGACTTCAAAGACAAAAAAGTGGGTATATTTTTCGATATTGGACAATACTAAGGGATGAGAGCATTTAAATTCGCACTTTGCTTTTTTCAAATGCTTTTCTGTACCACTCTAATGTTTAGATATTTAGATATCTTTCTTTACAGTACATGCTCTTGTTTAACATACATAAATAAATATATATAAATAGGGGGGGCCAAAGCTTTATAATTCCGACTTTACTTTATTTGGTCCACCCTAGTGTTCATTAATATTCTTCCGAGAAATCTGTATCTTAATAAAAGTCATGTTGTCATATCAAAAGTTAAATAAAAGATAAACGAAACGATAGCAAAAGTGATGGTGCCATGCTGCGAGTACTTTCCGTCACTGCTGTTGACATTTGGAATTCCCTATGCAGCTTTAGCAGATAAGCAGCTTTAATGGGTGAGCAGAAGTAGAAAAAAAACAGCATTTTCAAAGGAAAACATACAAATGTGTGAATCATTAACTTTGTTGATTATGTTATGTTAGCACAGAGCAGGGAGCCAAATGAAATTAATTATCATCAACGCCACTGCATCGGCGTGCTAAGCGCTAATCACAGCCATTTGCGAACTAATCAAACAAGCTTTTTGTCTTAGGTGTGGAGATAGCCATATAAACATGCATATGTACATATGTGTATAAGTGTTTATATACACGCGCTCAAATGCGATCTGTGCAAAAATCCGCATTGAAAACAGATGGAGAAAAAGCACGAAGCAAAGAACTGGTTATAGCTTTGTCTTTGAGCGCAAGTGTGGCAAGACAAATCGGTTTGTGAGGCTGCATACTAATGTGAATTAAAAAAAAAAAAAAGAACAAACAAAAATAACCGAGACACGCATGCTTTACTTCCTCTGAATTCAATGAATCACTTTTTTATTCTTGTGATTCTTTAAGGGACTCATCACATCTCAAGCAAATCACAACAAAATGCCCCGAACTCATAGCATTCTCAATCTGCTCTTTCATTTCAGCTGTGTTGAGTTGAAGTACAAGGAATCCATATAACAGTTATCTCTTTGTGTCCATCAGCGGCGCAGCAATCCAATCCAGTTCAGTTCAGTTCAGTCACCCACTGCGTATTTTGCACATTTTGCCACAGAGTAGTGTGAAATATTCTGCAGTGTTGCTGGTGCGGCACAAGCAGCTAAATATGCAGATAGCAACATCATATCGCAGCAGATCCAGTGACGAAGCACTCGACGAACATTTAAAGTTACAGCAACAGCAGCAACGTCAACAAGCAATGCCAATGGTAATGAATAATACACGTCGACATATAAGCGGCGTTCACAATATAGTCTTACCAGCAACACCACCACCACCACCGCCGCCATCAGAAGCCATGCGGTTGCGTACTGATTCGAATGCGACCAGCATTTATGTGATTGGCGCAGACGCAACGTCCAGCCACAATGGCCCTGTAACGGCTACCAGCAGCGTTACACAGTCGGATAGTAATCCAGCAACAATGGAACGTAAACAGCGCAATCGTTTATCCTGGGTGAATATGCGTCGATTTGGTGATGCTGATGATGCGACTGCGCTGCATGGTGAGCATGATGGTAGAAGCGCTGTGACTATAACTCCATCACCACAAACAACGCGCAGTTATATCTCTACAGTTTCCACAATGACAGCCACAACCGGCACAGGTGGTAGCGGTGGTGCTGGTGGTGGCAGTGGCACAATTAGGAGTAGAAGTGGCGGTCATATGGGTAATGGTAATGGCACATTAAGCGGTCGCACAACTGCCGCTTCGGGACGCATCAGCACTAGTGGTGCTACTACCATCAGCGGTAGCAACAATACACTAAACGATATAATATCCGATTATCATAGTCATGAGGCGGCTAGCACTAGTGATTTTCATTATTCCAACACTGTTGTGGCATCCACACCGCACATGAAGAATCTTTCGAGCAGTGGCAGCTTTAATATGACCAATGGCAGTACGGTGAAGTTGCTGCCGGTGACGGACGATGATTCCAATCAGCAGGTGAGTGAAGTTGACCAATGTTTATATTTCTTTGCATCTTACTTTAAGGCTGGCTTATCGATCGACTCTGTTGCTACGTATTCTACATACTACTAAGTATTTTGTGTACGTTATAGTGAATAAATATAAATATAGTGAGTAGTTCGAAGAAACAGGCATCAGTGTCCGAAAACCCTTCCGGAATACGGCAATAAATTCTGATCGCTTTCGTCTTAAAGTAGAGTTTGGAAGCTCTGAAGCCACATATTTTTAACCATTTTTTGTATACATAACCGTATACATAAACGTTTCCGGTTCTGACGATGTTTTTCAAATTTCCAGGGCAATTCTGGCTAAGATAGTTGAAAGTCTTTTGTAAGACAATTGAAAGACAATTGACAAATTAGTTCGAAAGACGTTTTTCATTTTAGCACGAATATCTTAGAAAAAAAGCTCCTTTGCCAACTTTCATAGTGAAAAGCTCTTTTGATAGGCAACACTTGTATATCATTTTGCTGGCGCTGCTCCAACAGTCGCAATGGCCGAGTGAGCAAAACACTGCCGTTCCATTCGAGAGGTCTGAGGTTCAAGTTTCTCGGCGGGCGGAATTTTCTGTGCATGTATTTTTTCTTTTTTAAATACATTTGCTTTTGATCTTTAGTTTTATTGTTTTAAAAAATTCATAATTTTTTTAATTTTATTTAATTTTTTGAAACATAAGTATTTTTTTGCTTTTTTAATTTAATTGTCTTAAAAAGAATTATTTAAATTGAGTTTAATATTAGCGAACTTATTTTATTTTATTCTAAGTAAAATTCCTTTTAAATTTTCAGTTTATTTTATTTAAAAAGAAAATATTTTTGTTTCAATTCCATTTGATTTTTATGTATATCTATATATTTTTTATAAGGAGATATATATTTTTATAAGGAGATAAGATATTTTTTATATTTTTTTTTATATTTTGTAATTTCATTGGTTTAAAAAGAAAAATATATATTTTTGTGTATGTCATTTATTATGTAGGAACTTATTTTATTTTTTCTTTTTTTTTTAATTAAATTTTCTTTGGAGTTTTGGCTTATTTTGTTTTAAGAAGGTTATATTTTTCGAAGTTCATTTAATTTTTAGTAACTTATTATATTTTTCTTTAGTTTAAATTTTTTTTAATTTAACTTTCTTTAACTTTTATGGCCTTATTCATCAAAAATAAAGTAGCTTTATAAAAGGTTTGTAAATTGAAAAATGTATGAAAACGTCAATTTATAAAGCTCTTCAAACCTACTTTATTTTTTATGAATAAGGCCATTAGATTATAGATATTTTTTTTAAAGATAAATAATTTTTAAAATTTCATTTACTTTTTAGAAACTATTTTACTTTTTTAAATTTAAATTTTAGTTTTTAAACTTTATGGGTTTAAAAAGAAAAATATATATTTTTCTAATTTCATTTAATTTTTTGAAAACTTATTGCTAAAAGAAAATGAGAATAACGCTAAGCTCTTCTCGTTAGCAGATCTTTCAAATAGTCTTTCGAAAGGCAGAAAAGAACTTCCAAGATAGTTGCCAGAATTGACTTTTGTTGCCATAATTGGCTTTTGTCTTTCGAAATACTGTGGTGAGTTGAAAGGCAGTTGCCAAAATAACCCCGTTAATGTCTCACAGTGTATGGACCGGTTGACCGTCCGACGTTTTTCACTTCCTATGCCGTTATGTACGTACCAAAACAGTTCAGTTAAGATATTTTAAAATATTACCTTCCTGAATTCATATATACGATTATTATGCCCAAATTTTTAGAGAGAAGCTTAAAGCTTAAACAGACGGCAGCGTTGATCCGGACTATCTCTGACTTAACCCGGATCAACTGCAGTAAATTCCCGAGTTGATCCGGATTAACCCTGCCGTCTGTTTACGCTTTTAGAGAAAGAACATTTGATCAGACCTATCTTTACATGCCCACAAAATTGTCTCGATATTTGGCGATTAAAAACAACTCTCTCAATCAAACTGTCCAAATCGTCCCTGAAATGCTCTTCTTAAAAGTCTGAATCGCTTTGTTGGGTATAGGAGATGTTCGATTGGAGTTACGGATCTTAAAGAATGTCACTATAACTTGTGTCAATAGTTCTGTGCCCGTTCGTTCCCCCGAAATATGTAAATCTCGTGTTTGGCTCAGGGAGCCTCATAAAGCTCCATTTTCTTCATTCTTTCGTTCCCGAAAGTTTCTAGTTTACTTAAACATATTTATGTACACATGTATGTGTTGGTAGTCGATATAATCAATACCGCCGATACAAATGTGAGCAAATCAATTGAGCGCTAATAAAACTCTAACAAAAAGCTCGAATGCTCACTAAAAAGGCGCGGGTGGCCGATAGCAGTAAAGTGCATTGCTAATCATCACGCCAGCCTAGGCGCTTACATAAGCGTTTACGATTTCATAGCTCATAGATATAGCATACAGAGAGGAAGCGTGAATAAATGCAGATGCACACGCGCGGTACAGGTGCGCGATAGTAAATCAAATGCTGTGAGCACACGCAAATGATAGCGTTGCACAGTGATGCAAAACTGAAATTTACTCAATTCATAATACATACATATGTAGTCCAGATGAAAGCTAATAAAATTTAGAAGAGAATTGTTGATACCGATTTTGAATTTTTATTTGTATATGTTATTAAGCGTAAAGTGCTAAAAACAAGTTGAAAATAATTGTAGGCTTTCTCCAAGTAAAAACAAAAATCATAAAAAAACTAGAAATGTTATAAATTTTTTTTTTACCAAAATATTTTTTTTAAATTTTTTTTAATTTTTAGAAAAGTTCTAGTTGAGCAGTTTTTAGGCTTACTAATTTTTAGTAGTTAATAAAGCGAAAGTTTCGAGTGGCTAAGAATTCGTTTTGATTTTTAAAGTATGTATATATTTTTTTTGGCGGTGTTAAGCATTTTTTTTATAAATGCATACATAAAGTGTGCTCGAAAAGTCAGCAAAAAAAGGTATTAAAAATCAAGCCACTTAAAGTTCGCACTTTATGGCATTAAAACTTATTTGCCTATTAAATTCTTAGCTAAAATTTTTCTAAAAGTTCGCAAAAAAATTTCAATTGTGGGGATTTTTTTTTTATAAATTTAACATAACATTTTCGAATTATTTTTTATTATGTATTATGTAACATTTATTAACAGAAACACGAGAATAAATTTTCTTTAAAATTGCTACTTTCTCTGCACTCTGCACTAAAAAATGTAATATTAACAAATAAAAATTCGAAAATCGGGCTCAACAAGTGTCTTCTAAAGTTTATTAGCTTTCATCTAAAATAAGCTTATCAAATCGGTTCAAATATGCAGGCTCTGAACTGTTTATAACAGTAAATTCCAGTTTTGTACCACTGTACGTTGGTAGCACATAAAAATGATAATATAATTCAGACAAACGCTCAAACAAAGCGTAGAAAAAAAACCCACTTTGTAAAGATATAAAAATAAACACCGTTAAAATGCAAATAATTGAAATGACGTGAATTGTTTAGCTGAAATGCGATATTGGCGACGCACGAAACGCGATGATACGAGTACATATGTACATATATGCAGCGCAAGCAGCCGCGGCAGAGGCTGAGGGCGGCTACGACAGCGGCTTGGTGTGTGCGCGATCTTGCGGATGTGTTGCTATGCGGTGGCAGTGGGGATTTTAATAGCCGCCTGCCAGCCAGTGATTCTAAGGGGTGGTTGGTGTGGTTTTTGCGGTAATGGTTTCCATTACAATTTATATACACGAAATCTCAAATTCTACGGAAATGTGGGATTGTGTTTTACATAAACGCATTACTTACCTACATTCAAATAAATTTTACATGCCTCAACACATACTTGCATACAAATATACAAATGCATTTGTAGTTGGGTTTACTTAAGTGTCATCTTTATTGACTTTAAATATTTTGTCTTTTTTCATTTTTGTTTTTGTTTTGCCATTTGCATTTTTTGTTTGGCGTCATTGTTCTTTCGCTTATTGTTTATAAGTAGTTTGATATTTCAATTTTAATTGCACAATAATTTGTTTATTTATATGTTCATGGCGGCGGCTTTGCATTGCCATAGGAAATTGTGAAGGTAGTTTTTACGTCATTTCGAGATAATCTCAGCAAAGTAGTAATAATTAGCCGCAGGCTTTCGTGGCAATAGCATGGTGAGAAAAAAATTCGTATTTCGAAATATAACTAATGCAAAAATGCAGTAATAAAAATTTGGGATGCTGAAAAATGATTGCCATATTTAGGAAATAATTGAAATTTATGCAATTCCCTATGATTATAAAATTTTTCCCATGATGTTTTTGATATTTGAAATGATGTCTTTTAATGGTTTTTTAGGTCAAAATATTTAAACAATTTTTTATTATATTTTTTTTTGTTTTATCTTATGCTTTTTTACTGAGAATGTATAAAAAAATATAATTCAGAAAACAATTTTGGTAGGCATAACTCAAGAACGGCTCTAGGGATCTGCTTCGCTTTAATTTTCATTTGTGTCTTTCTGTCTGTAGAATGAATGTAAGGGGGAAAAATAGATCACTGATGTTGCCACATATTTCAAATATAAAAAAATGATTAAATTTACATACGCCGCAATAATGTACTTTACTGAGAATTTATAAACAAATTTAATAAAAAAAAATCAATAGGGTTGCCCACACTCTAAAAAATCTTTATATATAAAAATGAATTGTAGCTCGTGTGTTATCGCATAACTCAAGAACGGCTCAACGGGGTTGCTTTGTTTTTATTTCATTTTGTTTCTCTTTATCTGTAGAAGGTTTGCAAAGAAAAATTTAAAAACCGGTGTTGCCAGATATATGAAATATCAAAAAAACAAAAAAATGAAATGAAAAAAACCGCAGTAGTTATATTTCACTGAGAATGCATAACAAATTTAATATAGAAACAAATTTTGATAAGGTTGCCACCATTCGATAAAATCTTTATATATGAAAATATATTGCTGTATCAAA